TATTCGAATCAACATGTATATCCAAAGTGAAAATATCTGGAGGATTATTGTCGTGAAGAGCAGAATGGGATCAATGTGGATAAAAATCCTGCTAATACCGTTCTTGCTACAATATTACACGTTATCGAAAACTTAGCAGGTAGGGCAAAGTTAGCAAGTAGGCACCCGTCAAACCGATCAAGTGGCTGTATTTGGCTAGTCGCTGTTCTATAGCAAAAAAAAACAAAAGTCACAGAACTCATCGTCGCGCGGCGGTCTTGTAGGCTAACGTCGACGTTATCAGACAGTTATCAGTGCTGAATTGTTAAGCTTCCACAATCCACAAGGAACACAAACAACGACTTAGACGAGGAAAATGTAGCTAAAAATTTTTAACGAAGGTTTCACTCGCGTTATTATAGAAGAACTCCCACAATTTGCAGTTTACATACATATTCTAATTGGCCTTAAAGTAAATGTGCACGTTATTCTACTACGGATATAACTGATATTCAACGAGTCCAATGAGCTTTTGTCCCATATCCGTGTTTTTGAAATCCGAAAATCAGGGACAAACTTTCAATCGGAGTGAAGTATATTTAGATAAGCGTGTACCCGCATTACTTTTTTTATAATGAGGTCGCTAAATATCCGAGCGTTTTACATGGTGCTGCAGATGATCCTTAACTCTGTCATAACAAAATGCGCTAATATTTGGACTTTGTTGTCCAACTGTGATAACTTTAATAATACATCAGTATTTTATAACAATCCTTAGTGTATATATATTAATAATAATAATGGGTCTAAATAGTTACTTAACATATGTTCATATTATACGCATCACCCACTAAACACTGGACCCCTTTATCAGCTTGGGCCATGGTTCGGTATATGTTTAATATTACTTCGAAACCATGACTTGCAGGAACGTTCATTTCATCTTCCTTCTCTTTGAGCCGTTCCAGTCCATCCTCCATTCCGGCTTTCCTCTTGACCATAAACTCTAGGTCTCGAGGGGGACCGTACTCCCTGTACTTCCGCTAATTCCAGTTGTTGAGCATCGGGCCCATGATTGTTTCGGGTTGCACCATACTGAAATACAAGAAGCATCCTTAGCCTGCCAAACTTGAATGAAATTGCGGTGACGACTGAGTCTGGGTTTATGGGTAAAATAATGATTGGTATTATTTTTGCTAGGATGATCGCTTCGATTCCGAAACTTTTTTGTACCAGTTAACCGCTTGGAAGATCATGCTTTAGCTGTAAGACTAACTGGCGAAATTTAATTTTCATCATTGTTGTTACTTGCTTTAGGAGGACATCGTCAGTTGATAAGGTATTAACCGATATAGACACTAAACCATGTATTTTTAAAAAGTCCTTAGGTCTTGTCCACAACTATTTGTAGTAGTGTGACCTAAAATAAGCCACATAGTTTTATTGGATATACACAAATGATTTGTTACACCTCTGGCTAAGTTCATGTATTACCCTGAACCAATATTATTTGTATATATAACACGTGCATTCAAGGAACGAAAGCAAGAAAAATGGTCATATAAATGAAAGAAATAGTACAGGCTTACATGATATATATAAATTTTAGTGCGATTCGTTCCGTTTTGTAATTAGCTTTGACCTTCTTTTTAACGGCATTAAAGTCTTTCTACGCAGTCTTTTGTTTTAAGTAAGTTGGGCATAGAGATCTTTTCGAACAGTACTATTTTCGCGATGGCGAATCCAGTTACTTTGTAGACGGGTATCTTTGCCAGATAATGCTCTACTGGGCCGTTTGGTACTATTTTGTCCTCAAGTTTCGATGGTCACTCCCCAGCGGTTTCGCGTTGACGCATGACATAATTAACAAGACCTATCTTGTTACGCTCTGCACCAGTTCGAGTGCGTACCATTAAAGTGGGCTCGCTTGGCAAAACCGAACCGGCAAGTCGCGGGCCAGCGTTCGGGATGACAGTCAACTAAGTTTCGACAAGACCCATATTTATGGCAAGCAAAATCGTACCCTAAGGTCATCCCAACTCTACGGCTTGAAGTTGTGCTGTCTAGAGCAGATCGTGAACACGGCATAAATTCGAATGCGGTCCTTGCGTCGCGTAAACGGTTTACAAAACGCTAAACTTCTTTACCTGCTACAACAAGACGTTCCTTAAGGTCGGCAGCGGTGGCGCAAAGTAGTTACAGCAGAGGGTAACAGACTGTAAGTACTCCAATATCACGGTCGGCTTTCGGTTCCTTTACGCATTGATTGAATTGACTTAGGAAATTGTTGTTGAACGAGTTTTTAACTCCGCTTTGCTCGATCGTGAGGGACGCCATCTCTTCACAGCCACATGTTAATTTTTCTACGTAGACTCCTTCCTCTTCATGATTACGTTTTGTTCCTTAAAGATTTATAATCAGAGTACAAGGCTGAAAATTGATAAGGTCGCTATACGTATTCACTAGAATGAATCAAGGATATGATTTTTATGACGGCTTTTTTTTGATAATTTTGTTTTTCTTTGGCTCAACTCACGCATACTCATACGTGTATTGCACCCAAATTGGATTTTTTGATGTATATGGAAAAATTTTATGTTCGTATTTTGTTCTCCAAGCTGCCGCTATTTATCACGTGAAAGAGGAAAGATAGAGCGAAAGAGAAGGAGAAATAGAAAGAGTAGATTTTCTAGCAGACCTCCGAGTGGTAGTAAGAGGTCCGATAAGCATGGGTTGATAAGGAAATCCTTTTTTGGGTGTTGCGGCGTTCAGTCCCACGAACTAAGCTGTCCTTCGCACTTTCAGATAACTGCGCTACCCACTTATCGGTTTAAGTTATTGTTTCTACCAGTACTACTCAGCCGATAGCTAAGATTATGCTTTGCCTTTACTATCAATCAGGCTTTTCCGTAGAGTGGTTCTTGTCCTTGAAGTGACCGAAAAAGATGATGCGATGTGTACGCGGACTTCTTTTCAACAAAAAAAAAAGATTAAAGACAAGAGTTATCAATAGTGATGTGCTCTTATTGATGACGCTAGTTTTCGATGACGAAGGTACCACCCAACCGTCGCAGCCAGTCTACGTGCTTGTTCGCTGAACGAAAGCACACGACGGGCCTTGTTTACCCACTTCCTTTATGAGGCGCGAGCGTAAGTTTCGATTATGAAATGCCGCTGGCAAAGAACTTCTCGATTTTAAATTTCCTCAAGAATGCTGTACTTTTTTTGAAGAACCTTTTTACTTTTTTATGTTCTTCACAAAAAACGAAAGCGCATCATTCTTTACGTCAGAGACTTTGCCTTCCCCAACAAGCCATAGACTAACTGGTGTAGGCTGTATATATCTAGATTATTATTTAGGGGCATGACTACGGGGGCAGTTGTCGAACCTATATATGAGGCTGCTACCAGAAAGGTACACTTGTAACGATCTATAACGAAATTCGTAGAAGACGTATATTTTGGATCGTAATATGGGAGTCCCCGACCTTTCTAGGAGATTTGATTGGGTACTGAGGCAGCACAGTATGACAGCATTCAGTTTATTACGAAGCCTTCGTTTACAGGTTTGAAGGTGAGTGTAAAACTTACTGCAATTAGAATACGAGCAGAACGATTTTGCTCGTTGTTCCCATTACTAATGACGCTTTAAAATGTCGACTGCCAAATGGAAGACACTCGTTTGCAGCAAATCACATATCTTTCAACCAGTTTTTACATTTTTAAGCACTCGAAGAAAAAAAAAAGTGAGACGAGCGTTCAACAAATTGGAGCCCCTTTGCCCTACCCGCTGTCTGCCTGTATTTTTACTGTATATATCTTATGTTCCACTGTCGTACTAGCCCACTGCTAATTATCTTCTTGTTCCAGTTACAAAAGATTGGTAAATTGCCACTACCAATCATTCTCAATTGCCCTAGCGTAACTGTTCTAATTATCCACTAGTGTCTAAGCGTTCTTAGTCGATTATTTCCATACTATATTGGTACCTCCTATTATATATATATATATTCTAGCAGGTTCCTTTTATTCTTACAGTGAAGTTGCTATTCTTATCCTTAGTCTAGCCGTAAATTTTTTTATCCTGAATTTTTTTCAGGTATTATAGCATAGCTTGCAGATGTAACTGTAACGATCCTTTTGCAGGTTTAATCAATATTGTTTGTACATACGTTCTATAACGCAAACCTAGGAACTAGAGAGAGAGGAATCAAAGTCACTATCACCTCAATATAAAGAATGCTATGATACGATCCACGAATCGGCGCCCTCAGATTCGGAAACGGTATCCAAACTAAATACACTGGTTCAATTTAGGTCGTGCTCTCCCTGTTGATGGCTAAGGCGGTAGCGAGGCCGGTCTCATAACCTAGTTTTATATTATCGCATTCGAAGCATTCGCGTAAACATTTTTACGGAAATCTTTGTCACAAAAAAGTATCTGTATATACAATAAAAATAAATTAAGATAAGGCCGGAAGGATACTTAGAAGAAGAATACGTTTGTAGACAAATAGAGAACAACCTTGAGACTTACAATTTAAATACGTAATCTATAAAGTGTAAGATGTTTTGTGTTTGTTTCTGCTGTAACTACACTTACCATTTCGGTAAATAGGGGCAATTTACATGTAATAAGTAAACATATGCGTAACAATTCATTTACATAAACATTTATAAAGAATATATAAATGAATCGTTTACATATATATA